AATGCCTTCAGGGATAGGCCTTTGATGTACACATTTCAAATGAATCAAGAGAGCAAGAAACAAGGAAAACAAGAAAAGACTAAATATAGGAGATTTGGAAGTGTTGGTTGCAGGGTAAAAAAATAAGATTTGAACATTATTTACAATAGCCAGATTATGAAATCCAAGTGCCCCAAACAGATGAATGGATGGAAATGTGGTATATATACACAATGGAATACTACTCAGCAGTCAAAAAGATAAACTCATGCCATTTGGGGCATGAGCTAAAAGAGATTAGGGCTAAATAAAATAAGTCAGAGGGAGAAAGATAAACACAGGATAGTATCACTTCTATGTGGAATATAGAGAAACCAAAGGGTCAGATACAACCAAACTCAAAAAGTAGCCCTGAAAGCTGACTATAGAACTGAGATATGTGGGGGCAGAGGTGGGGCAAGAAGAGACAGGCAAGCACAAAGTGGGGAGGGAGCATAGTGGGCCATGGTGGTGAACTATGGGGCTTCGATGAGGGGAGCACTATTGTAATAGCACCAGAAGGGAGGACCCTATACTTCCAAAATACAAACAATGTAAACTATATACATAAACATATACATGTATAATACACACGCATACACATGAGCTAATGGATTTACATACATACATGCTTAGGGATTTACAGCATTGACTTATAAAATAACTGAATATTACAAACCTTAGATGAAGAAATTGATGGTATTTAGTAAATTTTGTCGAAACAGAGACTCAGAGAGAATCAGTCTCTCAGGCAAAGTGGTGCAGCTACAAGTGGTACATCTGGGGTTCAAACCCAGCCTATAATGGCCTGTCCGTATGTTTCACAGTGCCCTGTAGATAGTTCGATCATCGAGGGCAAATATTTTGTCCCATTTGTCTTGGCAGCACCAGGACCTAGCATGGTGTTTGACACAGGAAATGCCATTTAACCATTTACTCAGATTTGTAGCCATTCCAAGCTATCTGTGTTTGTTGACTGAATAATTGAATGTACAAACTGTAACAGGGTAATCCAAACTAATGGACAATTCTCTTATGTGCTACTTGGGAGTGGATCCCAGAATGGGATCTGGGTTCCAGCAGCTTGGGACTCTTGAGGTTTTTGAACAAAGGTAAGTTTGGAAAGATGGCTTCTGCACCCACCATGGGAGTGGAGAGATCATCCACCAGGCAGAACTCTGTCACAGTGTTGGGTGTTTTCACTATTTGATGCTGAAAGGACAGAAAGGGGCCATGCCCACTGTATGTTGGGACCATTAGGTGGTGAGGTAGCAGGAGGTAGGGAAGGAAGGCTCCACTAAGACAAAAATAAATTGAAAACACAAAAGTGACAATCCGAAGAAAGGACAGTGCAGAAGAGGCAGAGCTGAAGATTCAGACGGAAAAATGGGGTGGTCGTCTTAAGACAGCTCAGTGGAACCTGAGCCCAATGCTGATACTGTTGCAAGGACAGCCTGGCCTGGGTGGGGTGCAGGCAAAGCAGAGAGAGGGTGCAGAACGTCGGGGTGAGCAACTGTATGGGGTGGGCCATGGTGCACAAGGACAGGTGCCTTGGCCCCTAGCTGCTGAGCCTCAGAACTTGTGGGGCCAGCTGGCTGTAAGGGGGGGTGGGGGGGGTTGGTGAGGGAGCAAGGAATAGTGAAGGGGAAGTAGGAGAAGGGGCAAGCTATAGATATGATAAGGGGACGACAACAACAACAACAACAAAAATGGCTGTGCGGTGCCTCCTTAAAAGCCAGGAGAGGGAGCTGAGGGCAGGCTCTTTGGGGAAGCAGAAGTGTGGGAGCTTTGGAATGTGCAAATGAGCTCGGGGAGAAGGAGTCACAAGGGCAAACCCATGACAGAGAAAAACAGGGTGAAACTGAAGAAGCAGAAACAATGAAAATTGGAGAGTGTTAAGTTTATAAGAAATTGATATACGATACATGATGTGCAGTGAAATAGGGATAATATGTAAATATCATTTTTAACTTTAAAAAGTTGGAAAGCTCAGAATGGATAATCTTTCTGAGGGTGCTTTATAAGTATGAAGGAAGATATTTGTGGCTGAGAGGAAAGGATGCAGGGAGTGGAATCCAAAAACTCGAGTTGGAAACCAGCTCTGCCCCCGGGTGAGGACAGGCCACGGGTCCTCTCCTTTGCCTCTGTGTCCTCAGCCGGAAGGTGACAGTCACTGCCCCTCCCACGATGGCTCAGAGGGATTGCCTAGGTGCTGAGACTGCCGCAACGGAGGAACACAAACTGGGTGACTTAAAACAGGAGGAATCTGGGCCTCCCCTGGTGGCACAGTGGCTGAGCGCTGGGCTGCGAAGCTGCTCGCAGCCTCTGCAGCACCGGTTCGATCCCCTCTGGGCGAGGGTCCCATGTGGCGCACAGACCTCTCCTGCGGTACCCGCTGTTCCCCTCAGCAGTGTACTTCGGTCCTTCTGCCTGTTCTGCTTCCTGTTCTGGCTCTGGTGAACCCTCTCACCCTCCCATGCTTCTGACTGTACCCAGTGCTTGTATAAATAAATAAATAAATCTTTAAAAAAAAAACAAACAGGAGGAATCTACTTGCTCACAGTGCTGGGGGCCGTATCCAAAATCTAGGTGTTAGCAGGGTCACATTCTCTCCAAAGGTCTGGGGAGAAATCCTCCCTTGTTTCAGCTTCTGGGAGTCCAGCAATCCTTAGCTTATGACTGACTACATCCCCCCAATTTCTGTTCCGTCTTCACATAGCCTTCTCCCCCATGTCCCTGTGGGTCCTCTTATAAAGACACCAGTCCTTGCACCCAGGAACCACATGAAGTCCAGGATCATTTCATCTTGAGACCCCTAACAAATTTCAAAGACCCTATTTCCAAATCAGATCTCATTCTGAGGTCCCAGATGGACATGGGTTTATGTGTGACACCACCCAACCCACCACCAGGTCCAAACAGTAATGAAGCAAGAGCAGGAGCAATGAAGCAAGCAAGAGCAATGAAGCAAGCAAGAGCAAAACATATTGAAAATATTTCCTGCATTCTTCTTCTCATCCTTAAAGGACATCTTTTTATGATGATGCCTCCTTATCATTTCTAATGACTGTCCTTGCCAGGCTGGCATAGCAGCCTACTCTTCCTGTTTTTGTTGCTAGAATTTTCTCGTGACCTCCACCCTCTATTCCTAGCCACCGACTAGCCACCCCCTTAATCTTTATGAACCCAATGAAATCCCTTACAGAAGCTTTATCAAAGTGCCTAGAGGTAAATGCTTCCTGCAGCGAACACCTGCTTAATGACCGTTAAGCAGCATTTCCGATTCCCTTTGATCAAATTATCATTTGCTCTCTTATCTTGTTCCTGGACTTTTTGTGAATTTAAGCTTTTTCTTCTAGGTCAGCCAGATCTTACAGACTGGGAAAGTTTTTTTTTTTTTTTTTTCCTAAGATCTAGTTCTGTGCCTGGCATCGTTCAGGTCCTCTGTAGGTTCCTATGAATTGGCTACTAGCTGGCCACCCATGAGCAACTGTGACCTATTTGTTATCTACAAATCACATCAGAGCATTCCTTGACTACCTATGGAGTATAGTTCATATCACGAGGCAGGCCCCAGGGACACCTAGGCCACTGTTGACCTGATTACATGACTCTCTCCATGGTGGTCTCGGGATAACTCTGCTCTTGATAACATCAAATATTTTGCTGATACAAATGGCTCTTGACATATGGTCACAATGTCCCTTTCTCTGTTCCTTGTAAAACTTTTCCCCCATTCCAATCCCACCCTCCAGACTTTAATCCTCATACCATTGTTGCATGATCAGCTTTTACTAGCCTGTATGCTTTCAATAAATGGCACAAGAACTTATGCTCAAGTAGCAGAGTCTTGCCTTGCAAAACTGGTTCACGACTGTTGTGTCCCTCATTGTGTTCCCACCACAAAGTGGCAACAAAGTTCCTGTGGCCAACAAAATCCTCAGCAGGGGTTTCTAAATTATTTACTCCCCACTGCACAGACTATGTTCCTGTCAAAATTTCTTCTCCTTTACCTCCTGCATGGCTGCCTTTCTCTTCTGACCTTTTGGTGACTCTAGAATGTACCATTTTGTTCTGGTCTGTTGCATGACTGATGTTCACTCGCTTACTTGTTTAGTCATGAGGTTTCATGAAGCACTTACTCTGCTTGCTTTTACTGGACTTCAGACTTCAGTCTGTAAAAGAGTGGCACTCTCTTGCTAAAAGGATGAGCAAACTCTGTCACCTTCCCTACTTTTCCTTCTAGGGCCCAACACCATTCTCCCAAGCACTAGACATGCTCAAATTGTTCCAGTGAAATCTCAAAGGACAACGCCAAATGAGGTACTGAAAGTGCTGTGAATGTGAAGGAGTCATGCAAACACCTCTGAGAAGGTGCACAGAGATAACCACGTCCTGAGCTCTGTGATCGATGCCAGAAATTAAGGGCCAGATGCAGGAGGAGCCAGGTTTGGAGAGTGGCTGTCCCAGCAACCTCTGCACCTGCTGTAGGGAGAAGGCAGCAGCTGGAGTCAGCCTCCAGCATTCACCACCATGACCGCACGGTCCCACCAATAGATGAGCCCCTAGAAGTCTCTCGGGCACCAAGAAAGAGTTGAAATGGGTTGTTTCTATCAGGACTTCCTGCAAACACAGGGTGGGGTGTACATTTGGGACCAGCAGACAGGAGTACAACAGAAGCAGGACCCTGGGCAACGAGAGCAGTCTAGCCTACTCTCTTACACCGTCTCATGTTGAATCAAAACTCCAAATTCATCTGTCCCACCAGTTCAGCAAAAAGACCCATAGCCTTTTCTTCTGTACTAGCCAACGAGAAGTAGCTAGAAGCCCCTGCCCTGTGTCATGGGTTAGGCGAATAACAAGTAGCTCTGATTCTAGGGGCTTCTCTGACCTGCGTATCTGACATGCCTGTGGGCAAACTGAAGGTGCCCTGGACAACGGACAGTGCTGCCAGGGGCTCACGATGGAAGGGAGTCACTCACCAGCGTTGTCTTGCTGCTTTGTGTTTTTGATGTAGGCGGAGAACTTGGAGAAGATGTCGATACCTGCTGTGTTTGATTCTCGGTGTTTTGCTGCCAGTTTGGGGTACCTGGAATAGAAGACAGGGTTCTAGGATCAGTGAGAATTTGGAGCACTTTAACAGAGTGCCTGTCCCCATCACGACAAGCAACACTCCTGTTCTAGCTGGATCTCCAATCCCCACCATATGGGGATGGTGGGCACCACCAGCCCTAGTTCACCGATAGCATCAAACAGAGGCCAGAGAGGCTGGAGAGCTGCCTGGGGGACACGGTCCCGGGCAGGGAACCAGAATGCCATTTGGAGGGTCCAGGACATGCCTCTTACCCGGACCACCAACAATGATGCTACAATGAAAAGGCTCTAATCAAAATTTGGAAGGAGTTTGCCTCTATCTCAGGCATTTTCCCAACCCACATTTAAATAACTACCCCCTTGCCAGGCCTACGAGTGTAATCTTAGCTGCACAGAGCTAAATTTGGGAGTGAGAAGGCACTGGGCATCTTGGCACTAAGCCCTCAAAACCGTTTCTCGAAAGAAAGTGTCCTCTTCTGAAATATCCTTTGCATGCATTTCTTATCTGCATGCAACACCAGGAGGCAGGAGCTACTGGCCTCATCAGCAGGACAAGTGTTTTCAATTGCTTGATTTCCAGGCATGCAGATAGATGTGCTCGGTCTAGCCCACTCTCTTGCACTATCTCATGTTGAATCAAAAGAATGCAAGAGGCACTGGGGCCTCCCCGGTGGCGCAGCGGTTGAGCACTGGGTTGCGAAGCTGCCCGCAGCCTCTGCAGCACTGGTTCGATTCCCAGCTGCTCCCCGGCCACCAGAGGAGGGTCCCACATGGTGCGCAGACCTCTCCTGCCGCCCGCTGCTCCCCTCAGCAGTGTACCTCGGACCTTCTGCCTGCTCTGCTCCCCACTCTGGCTCTGGTGAATTCTCTCACCCTCCCATACTTCTGACTGTACCCAGTGCTTGTATAAATAAATAAATAAATCTTAAAAAAAAAAAAGAATGTAAGAAGCAGACTGACATTAGGACTATTTTTAATCACCCTGAGACTGAATGAGGAAAACACGCTTGTGTGAGGACCCATCACTCTGATCCCCTTATCCCCATTCTAATGAGCAATACTGGTTTTGAAAAATACCATTTCACAAGCTCTTTCCGTGTATGGTCAGGCAGGGGCAGGGGGAGATGGAGGCAATTGCTGGGTTCTCATTATCCGTAATGTGGTTTATTGTGATCTCCAGGTAAATATTTCTTGCTGGGGGGTTTGTTTTCATATTTTAAATAACTTGAATAAAAAGATTTTAAAGATGGCTTGTTTAGCTTCCATTATTTTGCTCCTCAACTGGGCCATGAGCTAGAACTGTCTACTCTTGGGCCATGTTAAGTGGCTGTTGAATTTTAGATTTTGTCATTGGAAGAGTCCTCAGAAGGTCACTGGGTCCAGCCCTCTGTCATCAGGCAGATACAGAGGCATCATCGTCTTCATTTTACAGTGAAGGCAGCTGGAGGCCAGAGAAGTTACATAACTATTTACGGGCCCACAGATAATAACCAGCTAAATATGAGGGACCATGAGAACCTGGTTCTTCCTCCTAGGTCATCACTTCACTGACATCAGCAAAAGCTAACTGTATTGAGAGCCTATTATTATTTAGCAGGCACCATTCTAGTCCCTTTACATGTATTTTTCATATACGCCTCTAATCTGCACTGTTATTTACCACATGAAAAAAATGAGGTACAGAGAAATTAAGCAATTTCTTGAAGGTCATGTAGACAGTAGACAGATGGCAGAGCCAGGATTCCAAATCAGTCCGGTTCATGCGGGAAGCCCAGCTCTGAAGTTCTATGCTATGGTCTCTCATTCACTCAGCTGTTTACTCTCAAAGCTCCAAAACGCTTGCTGGAAGCAGCTGCATGCCATGGGTGAACTTTCTCCATCCACCAGTAGGGGGCACTCTGCACAGACTCTACTTCCTGAGGATACTGGGTATTAGGAAATTCATCTGCTCTGACTAGGGACACAAAACAGGATTTCCTGCAAGATGCTGATCAATTTGCCAAGACATTGGAATTTAGAATTGTTTCTTTTTATTTTGAGCCTCTCACTTAGAATCTGGCCTGTACTTAAAACTGATTGCCTCAATGTATTATTAATAAATACCAAGATCTCTTTGTTTTTGCTAGCTAAGGTACGAATGTAAAGAGAAACTAGCCTGGAAAGTACCTTTTCATTTGATGTTTCGTTTTACATTATGCAATTTTTTGATCAGACATCCAGCAATTTGACCACTTCTTCACAACCAAGGCAAGTCAGATGTGAATGAGGGGATTGACTCTGAGATGGGGAGCAAAGAGTCATGTGTGCCAGGAAAATGGATCGCTGCACTGAGACTTGCTGAGTCTTTCCTGTATAGCACAGTGTCCCACTAGAAGTTTGTCCTTGTGGGAAATAAGTCTTCAAATGTTAATCTTATAGATGTTGGTAACTAGATGTACTACACAGGCTATTAAGTGCATTATTTTAGCTTCATATTTATACCATATTTTAAATATGCAAATAGAGTCCATTCTGTTGCTCTAACAGGCTAGCAAATAGTGGTAATTCATAGAAACATCTTTGAAATAAGATTGTGATGTGGTCTGATAACAATCAAAGAGATGGTAAATTCTCTAACTCAGGGGTTAGCAAACTATGAGCCGTAAACCAAATCCAGCCCAACATCTACTTATGTTCAGCCCCTGAGCTAAAAATAGCTTTTACATTTTTAATAATTGGAAAAAATGATTTCTTGATTATAAAAATAAGATGAAATTCAAAATTTCAGTGTTCACACACAGTTTAATTAGAACAGAGTCAAGTCTGCTCATTTACAGAGTGTCTGTGGCTGTTTTCACACTACACAGAATAGCTATGATACAGAACCAAAAATATTTACTATCTGGCCTTTTACAGAAATGTGTGCTGACGTCTCCTCTAATTGACAAAATCTTCTCTACATTCTACTTTTAGATAGCTTCTTTCAAATGTAGTAATTGTAGTCCTACATTTGAGTTTCATTCTAAGAAGTAAAATAATTGGCCTCTCATCCAAAAAAAATGTATATATATATATTTGCAAATAATAGCAGAATAATAACAATAGTATTGCAGATAGAGTTCTCTGGTGGGCTTAGAGTTCCCACTGACTTGTCACAGACTACTCATAGGCCACCATAGGTCAGGCAATGGGATGCACTGGAGAAAAAGACAGTCCTTCCGCCTGATGAAGGGACGTTAGTTGAATCTAGGGGATCTCCTGGTAGCTTGAATATTGACCCTCCTTTTCTAATGAGCTGCAGAGTAAAGGACATCCCCCCTCCCTTCATTATTCCTGCTTCCTCGCCTCACCAGACTCTCCCTTGAGAAAGCTAATGCCCTGATCCTTGGCAGTGTGCTTACTTGTCTTGTCTTGCTACTCAAGCAACCGATACTTGGAGGTGATAGAGTCTGACTTACTCATGTAAAGACATTCCTTAGGATCTATGGTTTTAGACCCAGAGTGACCAATTGTCCTTATGATTGCAGCTGGGTGACTTTCATAAAAGGGGCACAGAGCTCTCTGTCTAACTCTTCCAGCTGTCAATTAAAGAGCTCTTACTCTGTGCCAGGCTCTAGGCTAACCTGTGTTATCTTCCAGGGTAGCCTTGTGAGGTCACCATTGTGGTCATCATGTTATAGATGTGAGAATTAAAGATTAGAGTTTTAAAAAGAATTTTGCTATAGCAGAGAGCACTCAGACTCACTTCATAACCCACGTGAAATTCCCAGCTTCTCCCTCTCAGTTAGGTGGGGGTCACGTGGCTGGATTCTGGTGAATATGATGGAAGGGGAAGTGCTATAACCCTAACAACCCTGACCCTTAAACACTATGCATGATCCCTTCTGTCCCTGCTAAGGAACCTGGGATAGATGTATATTCCAAAAGCTCCCTGTTGGAAGTGGGCCATGCTACCCACGCAGATTTTGCTTAAATGAGAAATAAACCCTTATTCTGTTAATTACTGAGATTTTGGGACTAATCAGGGCAGTGTAGCACAAGCTAGTGGCACTGATGAAAATCCAAGTTATGTTGACTGCAAGCCTTATACACTCAGTCATCGTCCTGGAGGTATTGAGGCTATTTCCCTGCCTTCTAGAAGATTTTTTAAAATCTTGTATTTTTGTATAGTGAGCTATCTTTATGCCTTTAATAAAATAATGAATTATATTATCAATTTATCCTCCTGACTTCCTATTAGATCATGCATATGTACTCAGCTTATTTATTAAAACAACCAGCTCTGGAAAAGCACTTGGAGAAATTCATGGGATGACAGGACTTTAGAGATCAAGAGATGCAGAGATGTGAGGGCGAGAGGTTTGCCAAGGTCATGTGACAGACCCAGTAGGAAAGTGGCCACAGTCAGGTCTCCAACTGCTCAGTTTCAAATCTTGTTAACACTGTTCATTCTGTGGAGACTGCTCCAAGCCTCCAGTCATCCCAGCACTAATCCCAACCCGTCCCTGCTGGGTGCTACTGGGTCAGTTTAAGGCATGAGATGGAAGTTTGTTTCATTTAGAAACTACTTGAGACTTCCTGGATTCCTCATTTTGACACCAAATGCTTTGTGGGACCAAATGTGACTTTAAAAAAATTGTTGGAGTGTTTGTATGTGTTTTTTTTTTTTCTTTAAAAAATAAAGCTAAGGGGGAAAAGTCTCCCACAATTTCTTGGCTCTCTGGCAGCTTTTACAAACAGCAGTGTGATGAGAAACACATGGCCGACCAGTGTTCTGTGAACAGTTATGGGGGGTTTTGCTGCCCCCTAGAGATCCAGAAGGTCAGGCTTGGCACTTTCCGGGCCTCAGGTCTCAGTGCCAGACCTCTCAGCCCCCTCAGTGGGAGGCCAGGGGCAGCTGGTGGCTTGTGGACAGAACAGCAGGTCTCCGTTTACAGGACCAAGCCCAGGGCTTGGTGACACATATGAGAAGGCAATTGTGGCACCTGTTCTTTCTGACCCATGCAAAATCATCTGGGGACACTCCTGGGGGTCTGGAATGGCTGATGGTCTCATCAATATAGTCCCCCCCTCAGTGCCTTCTGAAGACCTGCATCTTAACAGTTTTGAGGTTGTGTGATCTGGGCATGATTGATAATAGGGTCACTGACACATCAGGATCATACTTAGTCCCCTGCCTCTAGGAAAGGATGGAGGCAGAGGAAGCAGAGTTCAGGACAGGCAATGTGGACCAATGGGGAAGTGAGGAGGGAGTTTCTGCATCACACACGGATTAGCTGTTTGGATCATAGAAAACTTGCAGGATCTGATAAGACGATGATAACCTGATGATGGTTGTCCTCTAGAAGAATGTGCTTGAACATGAGAGGCAGACCAATCCAGGAGTCTCAGGGGCCCCACTAGCCCCCCCTATGGATGTAGAGGGGAGACCCCTGCAAGGGAGACAGCGGGGGAAGGAAAAGCCGAGTTGGGAGCAGAGGGAGTCTGGCTAAGGTGCACATGAAAAATCTTAGAGCAGTCAGGGTTCTTTCATGGGGGCAGTCACTGGGGCCAAGAGGAAGAAGAGGCTGGTTCTTGGGGTTGCAGCAAATCACCAGCAGGGCCAGAAGCTCTGGCCTCTGACTTAGCCCAGCCTGCACGCCTCCATCCACTGACCTGGCAGAGGACCAGGTGGGACACTCAGCTCCTCACCGCTTCAATTTTCCATTCCCCAGTGGTTCTGACAGAAGCAATTCCTCCTGAGTGTCGAAATTACTTCTAACAGGGAAAATGCTAACCTCACCCAGGACTTTCCCTTCTGGATCTCTCAGACCAGGTCTAAACCATAGTTACTGAAAACATCATTTATTTTCTCACATGGGATTTCAAACCAGTGCCAGCAAAGAGATGAGTCCCCAGGGGAATGGGAGGGAGTCTGAGCTCCTCAGGATCCTTCCAGCAAAATGACTGGTGTCCTGTTGGGAGATGTGTTTGGTGGTGGCTGCTTTGGATGTGACAGGTGGGGCTGTCCAGCTGATTTGATTAATGCATTTATTTATTTAGTACTTTTAATTGAGGTAACATTGGCTTATTATGTTGTATATGAGTCAGAAGTATAGGATTACAGATCTGCAGTTGCCTGTCACCACATCATGCCCCCACCCAGGTACCCATAACTCTCCACCACAGTTCTTTGGGCCCCTCCCTCTTCGGCTCCCACCCCTACACTCTCCCTCTGGTAGCTTCAGTTCTGCAGGCAGGTTTCTAGGGCTGCTTTTGGTTGATTTCACTCACATGTGGAATAGAGAGGAACAAAACCAAGGAAATGACAAAATTAACAGACTTATTTAAAGTCTACACGTTCAGCAGCTTCCAATGGGCTTGAGGCAGCTTTCTAGACTCAGTGGGGAAATAAACCACCCTAACGTGGATGGGGAAAATACTTCTAAAGAAGAACATATAAATGCCCCAGGCCTGATCAGAGCTTGGCTGGAAATTTTAAGCCAATTTTAAATTTAATAGCAATTTGCTAGATGCGTGATCTTTGACAAATGACTTGATGCCTCAGTTTCCCCAACTGTAAAATGAGGAAAATAATAGTCCCTATCTGCTGTGGTACATGAAGGTATGTGGGGAGGGCTGTTAATAAATAATGCAAGAGTAGGTTTTAGTAGTCAAGTCTCACTGATTTTACCTACTATGTCCTAAATCCTTCCTCCTGCCCCAGATGCCCAGTCTCGCTGTCACTGCCTTAGCTCAGCCCTCCCCTCTGTCTTGCCTAGACTGTCACCAATTGACTTCTCCCCATTGACTTCTCCACCTTCATTTTGTACATCCTCTGCTCTCCTTATTTCCCCCCACCAAACAAAGTAAGTGTGAAAACTGAATCTCCAATTTCTTTACTTAAAATTTTTCAGTGGCTGGAGACTCCCTGGTGGCACGGGGTTAAGTCTCAGTGTTATCAAGCTATCACCAGCCACTTTGGCCTGAGTTTGATCCCCGGCCAGGGAGCTGACACACATATGGCGCAGCAGACCTCTCCTGTCTTGCCCACTGCTCCCCTCAGCAGTGTATTTCAGTCAATCCACCTGTTCTGTTCTCCGCTCTGTCTCTGGTGAATCCTCTTGGCCTCCCCTCCCCCTGCACCTCTGGCCCACACCCCAGTTCTTCTATGCATAAATAAAAACGTTTTCAGTGGCCATCATCTACAAGATAAAGTCTATGCATGTCATACTTGTAATATTTTTTCCTAATTTTTTTTAATGTGACTGCTTTAATCTCCAATTACAATGTAGTTTCATAAATAAGACCAGTTTCCAGTAACATTTAGAATTCCCTCTTGCCTTTACTCCTACTGTCCATCCATTGTGGCTTATCTATCCAACCAGAAGCTCCATACCTCTGGTCTCTCTCTCCCTGTGCTCATTTTAGAAGAGGGGCCGATTTTAGCTTTTTCATTCACGAAATCATGGGCTCTCTCCTGCCTTGTTCAGATATGTAACTCTTATTCATACCTTGGTGTGCTGGTAAGCCAGGGGGTTACCTCTCTCCTGGCTTATTTTCATTCCATCAGCCCTTCAATTCTCCTCTGACCTGAAGCAGACTTTACCCCACCAGGAGGTCTTTCAGGTCAGTGAACTGAACAGGGGACTAGTTTAGAGGGATAGCAGGGTGTCAACCTTCCCAATTCACGCTTTAGGAGAGACTAGATGTCTTCATAGGGCTATCTGCTCTTGGAATTGAATATTGTGAAGCAGCTTTGAGATTAGCAGCTCTTCTGCAACTGGGGAGGGGTGTCCTGGATTCTCTGAAAAGAGGATCCTGCACTAGATTGATGAGGCTTCTTTGCAAATGTGCCTCCTCATAGCTAACACTATGCTTTTCGACCTCCAACACGGGCCTTTCCCTGACACTGGCTCTGAAAAAAATAAGCAGTTCATTACTTTTCAGGGGTCAAAGTCGCCTCCAGGAACTCCTCGATCTTATTGACATCTGTCTTCACTTCCCCATTGAAGGTCAGAAAGGGCGGGTGGGCGCCAGGGGCCAGGTTGTGTAGGTCGGCTGGCTTTCTGTGGAGATAGCAAAATTCAGATGGTAGTTAACAACAGCACACTTCATGTTCAGGCAAACCTAGGGCTTACTACAAATCAGGCTCCCTTTGCTAGCCAACATGCCCATCAGTAAAATCAGATTTTTAGCATGAGGCATAGGATGGGGAAGACTGGAGAAGGTTCTGAAGGGACAAGGTGTAACACAGGATATCAGAGAGATGAGATGTTGCCGAGTATCACTCAAAGAGCAGAGAGAACTATCAGGCCACTATCTGAATCAGTACCAAGCTTTCAACACCCAGGGCAAAGGTTGAGCTTTGCTTTCAAAATCTTCCCCATCATTTAACTTAACAAAAAGACACTAGGCAGAATTCCAAACTTTCAAAATTAGTGGCTTCAATTATAGTGTTATACTAAGAAATACCTTCCGCATGGTGAAGGGGGTGTGCCACAGGCAGAAGAGAGTGCCCTGCGTGTGATCTGAGATTCAGTTCGTGCCCCAAGATGTGCTTCTGTGCTTCCGGCTGGTCAGAATGAGGTTGAGGATGGAGCAAAGTCAGGGGGGGAGGGTTGGAGGGGGTTGGGGGGGCGGATAGAGTGTTGCTAAGGAAACAGGAAGCAAAGAAGAGGAATAATGATGGAGACCTCAATAGACTGGGCTGAGACATCGATTCACCCCAAAAGCTCTCTGAGAATGCAGCACTTCTTGTGGGAGTCACACTTGGAAACCATGAGAGGGAGGAACTAAGGAAAAAGTAAACAACTGGGAAAAGGAGTCTGCCCTGAGACAAATTCCTGGCGTAATCAGTTAGGGAGGGGAAGGGAAGAATTTCAATTACGGTGTTACTCCTGTAGCGTTCCCCAAACACACAGTCTCCAGCCGCATTCTGGGGCACTTGAAACTCCTTAGACATGGAGACTGGAAGTATTTTTAAATCCAATTTACTGAGTCCATTTGTTTACATTGCACGTGTCCCTCATTTTTGACCACAAAAGAACATTCTTTCCTTTCTCCTGAGATCTGGGGCTAACACTAGGCAGCACGCTTGAGATCGCAGCTGGAAGGGGAAATCTAAACTTATTTTATTTTTCAGCAATAATCTCTCTGTTGTTTAAAGATAGAAAAATTGATGTTAATTAATTTATTTTTTTGTTTTTTGTGACTCCAGAGAATAATGGTCTCTGGAATCTGCCACCCTTGGGCACTACCACCCACAACGGCTGAAGTCAGTGGACATTGCCAGTGGGTGCCCAGTCAGTCACAGCCCTCCCTTTCTGTTAGTCCTCTGCAGCATTTATAGCTGGATTTATATAATCAACATTTAATTACACATTGCCACGTCTAATGGGTTTGGATTATGTGATGTCTAGCAGTTCCCTGGCTCTGACCAGAGTTCCTGTTCCATGAGGCTGAGGGTGAGGCTAAGAAAATCCAGCACATGTGGGGTTTTTGTGATGAATCAGATCAATACTGAACGTAGATGCTCTCCATGCTGCTCCCCTAAATCCTCACAATAACCCTATAAACGAGGCACAACTTATACCTCTAGTGTACAGATGAGGAAACTGAGGCTCAGAAAAGCAAAGTAACTTGCTCAAGATCACTCAGCCAAGGAGTGGTGGTACCAGTATAAAAAATGAATTAAGGGCCTCCCCGGTGGCGCAGCGGTTGAGCGCTGGGTTGCGAAGCTGCCCGCGGCCTCTGCGGCCCCGGTTCCATCCCCGGCTGCTCCCCGGCCACCAGAGGAGGGTCCCACATGGCGCGCAGACCTCTCCTGCCGCCCGCTGCTCCCCTCAGCAGTGTACTTCGGTCCTTCTGCCTGCTCTGCTCCCCGCTCTGGCTCTGATGGGTTCTCTCACCCTCCCGTGCTTCTGACTGTACCCAGTGCTTATATAAATAAATAAATAAATCTTTAAAAAAATAAAAGATCATCTATCCTTAAAAAAAAAAAATGAATTAAGAGATTGCTAAACTTCATTGTATCATACATTTTAAAAATGTTCCTTGACTCTATAAATATACTGAAATATGTTTATACATGCAATCCTTGTAAATATGTATATTTCTATAAATACATATAAATATGCATATTTATAAATATATAAATATATGTGACATTTATATTCAGTGTATATATTACATAAATACATATTTGTATATTGAAATATATATTTCTCTTTTCATTTTTTGCAGTAAGAGCACTTCCTTATCTATAAATCTGGAGGTGTGATACTTGCCTGGCCTACCTCAAAGGGTTTTTGTTGGCAGGATCAAATGTGATAACAGATAAGAAAGAGAAAGGTAAGTTTTTTGGAATGCTGGGTGGTTCCCTCTCCCATTCTGATTCCAGCAAAGACACAAGCCCATTTTCTCCGCTGGTATTACATGGGAGTCATCTCTCCTTTGGAGGAAGCTATTTTTTCAAACTGCTTGAAAGTCTCCTGCTGTCTTAATTGTCACAGGCAATAACTGCATTGCAGATGAGCATCATTTGTTTGATAGATACTATTTGGGAGCCTGACTGAGTTAACTGCAATGGTGAATATGTTCTAAAAAACCTTCAAATGTGATCCAGCCTGGCCTTGAGGGATTTAAGGCCTCGCCTCATTTGAAAGACAATATAGATGCCATAACTGTATGTCCTCAAGGCATGGTCTTTGGACCATGCCTCCAGTTCTAATGGCGGGGATGGTGGGGTTGGAGCAAGTCATTTAAAGACTTGGCCTTTGTCTCATTGTGTAAAAAATGAAGAACGAAGCCCTCCTTTACAGGGTTATATGTTAGGTGATTTTTTTTGTGGGAAAGCACACACCAGTTGGGTCATGGTGAGCGTGTTGGCAGATCATGTTGGGAAGAACAAAGGAGAAAACAAGGAGGCTGCAACTGCATTTATTCCAAAGGCAATGGGGAAAATACAAAGGATGGATGGGGGGATAGGGAGGGACAGAAGGTGGGGAGGGAGAGATGAGACAGAGAGAGAGAGGGAGAGAGAGAGAGAGAGAGAGAGAGAGAGAGAGGGCCCTTGTGCCTGAAGAATGATCGGTTTGAAGAACAGAAAAACAGGAGCACCCTGGCTGGCAGAGGTGGGACCTGCATCCGGCATGGGCTCTGAGAATGGAACTTAGAAGTAAGAGAGCGGAGTGGGTGAGCCCTGAAAGTGAAGACTGGCAATGGAAGTAGCAAGAGAAGGGAGCTGGAACTGTTTCTATAGAATAAAGAAATTCAGGAGGGGAGCCCAACTCAAAGGAAAAATGACAAATACAAATTTCAACATACAGATTTTAGAGTGATAACAGAAAACACAAATGGAAATATCCTGAAGAGAGCAGGGTTGTGGGAATAGAATAAAGATGACAGGGAGAACACACTAAGCTCACCAGAGAAGAGGATAGAGGCAGAAGAGAAACATCCAGGGAGTGAACCTCAAGCTTGAGATACTGTTGTAGAGCAACCCTGACACAAAACAGGGTGCCTGACTGTGGGTCCTCACCCGCGCGCTTAAAAGGACTTATCAATGCTCTACTGCAGGCACACGCAAAAGGTTAATAAAAGGTTTATTTACAAGGGAAGGGGAAATGAGGAAATGTACAGTTCAGGGAGAAAAGTGGGAGACAAAGTTTTAAATGAGTCCTACCTGATCCGCCGATCAGGAATCCCCAAAATGGCGCTCTCAGAGTTGGCCGCAAGCCAGGAGCCGTGAAGCCAGGAGGCGAGCGATCGCGAGCCAGTCCCCAAGGCCCACGTGTTTGGTTTTTATATCCAACCTGGCTGCCCAACTCCACCCTCAGGTCCCAGCCACCCTCCCTTTGGTGGTGACGGGATTTGTCTTTCCCAATGTCTTGATGGCTTTAGTCTGGAGTGGGGGTGGGGGCCACAAAGCCTGTATGGGATTAACTCAGGACATCCTTTCCCCCTAACAATTCCACTTGAGTTAAAAGTGTTAGGGGGAAAGGATGTCCTGAGCAAACTCCAGACAGGTTTGTGGACCCCACCCTGACTCCAGACCAAAGCCATCAAGACACTGGAAATGACAAATCCCATCATCACCAAAGGGAGGGTTACTGGGACCTGAGGGCGGAGTTAAGCACCCAGGTTTGGTATAAACCAGACTGACGTGGGCCTTGGGTCTCTCTCTTGGCCTCACAGCTCTTGGCTCTCCGCCAGCTCTCAGCGTGCCGTTGGGATTCCAGGTCAGTGAAACGAGTAGGACACATTTAAGAATTTATCTCCCTCTTTCCTCATGGAGTTGTACATTTCCTCATTTCCCCTTCCCTTGTAAATAAACCTTTCATGAACCGTTTGTGTATGTCTGAAGTTTAGCATTAATACGTCCCCTTTAAGCATGCAGGTGAGGACCCACAGTCAGGCACCCCATTTTAGATCGGGCTTGCTCTGTAACAAAAGGTCAGGTGGGAGAGAGGAGCCACAACAACGGCTGAAAAGAGGGTGGCTCCTGATGGTGAATGATGCTTGCTTTTTTATAATAGCCATTATTACTGCATTTCCAAAACAGAATGCTAGTGACTCTCCATCTCAGTCGGTAACCCCAAACCTGCCAGAGAACATGGCAGAGGAAACGGTCTGGACCCCAACTCCTGGGAATGCAGGTTCTCACACCTGAAAATGTGCTAGGGAGGGATCTCAGGACGGGGCCCCATGCCACTGGGATAGCCATCTCTGAATGTTCATGTGGTTGCGCCCATCCCTGTGCCAGACACACTCAGTTGTACATCCAGTGTCCACTCCCTCCTCCTCCCTGGTTAATGCAGCCTTGCTCACGTAGGCAGCGAATCCCACAGCCCCAAGTGAGAAAAGCACTCTGTTATAGGGGTGTGCCCTTAGATACCATCTGCCTAGTGAGGTGTAAACAGGAGGTTACTGAGGGCCAGGAAAGGCTTTTGCCCTCCTTTGTGGAAGGTCTTCTGTTCCTGCAGCTAAACACATTCCTCATTATTACAGCATCCTTTACCTTTTCAGATCCACAGTGGTGACATTGAACACGACTCCTTTCAGCCAGAGGATCATAAAGAGACGCTGAGAAAAGGGACAGTTGCCGATGCTTTCCCCATCGATTCCAGCCTAGAATGAAGAGAGTCCTGAGTTGGCATGTGCATATTCACAAGAAGAAATATAGGATTATAAGCCCCAAACATCAGTTTGAGAACTGACTTTATCCATGTCTCAATCTCACTTCAAAAGGCAGTTGCCTTATATTATTCATCACTGTCTTCCTAATGTCTATGCAGGACTAAACTGAGCACAGGGCAAGGGCTCAGTGAGTACATCCTGAGCTACAGTTGAGTTTCCAGCATGCAAATTTCATAGTCATAACTTTCTGAAATCACAGAACCCTAACAACTCAGGGTAAAAAGAGACCTCCGATGTCATAATGTAAACAAATGATGTTGGACCTCTAACTTTTATACCTTGAAGTAGTCATCTAGGGCCTCCTCTGGTGGCGCAGCGGTTGAGCGCTGGGCTGTGAAGCTGCCCGCAGCCTCTGCAGCGCCAGTTCAATCCCTGGCTGCTCCCCAGCCACAGGCGAGGGTCCCACATGGCGCACAGACCTCTCCTGCCGTGCCTGCTGCTCCCCTCAGCAGTGTATTTCGTCAGTCTGCCTGTTCTGTTCCCCACTCTGTCTCTGGTGAATTCTCTCACACTCCCGCGCTTCTGACTGTACCCAGTGCTTGTATAAATAAATAAATAAATAAATCTTTAAACAAAAAAAAGAAGTCATCTAGTCTAGCCTAAATACCTCCACCAATCCCTAATTTATATCTTTCAAAGCAGCCCATTCTAAGGATAGTTTAGCAATAAGAAATGCTTTCCTTTAGCTATTGCTAGTCAAAATATGTTCATCTGTAGTTCACCTTCATCCACCCACTCTTAGGTCCTTGCTCCATGAGGATGTCATAAGTACAGACTCTGACCCCATCTTCCTAGCAGATGAGTCAGCAGACTCAAGAATTCAATCAGTTTCCACTGGGTTCTGACTAATGCCTAACCTTCCGTGTTAATAAGCCATTCATTTTAAATTATCCTCTTACTCAAGTAACATGTATGGACTATCAATTATGTGCAAGGCACTGGAGAAAATTGCAAGAAGGGATTGCAGAAGGTGATGGCCTTCTGTGGGGTGGGTGAAGACAGAAATGCATATATAATATAATAGCGTTACTGAGTGCTTGTATACTTCTGCTCATTACAGTCCCCTTTTCAGTACCCTCCTCAAGGAATGTGTCTTTTTTATAAACATCTGAAATGCAAATTTATATTTTCTTTTGAGTGGGCTGCAAAGACATGACCTTTATAGAATTAATTTTCAGCAAATACATGAACAAACTTTTAAAAAAAGATTGGGGAACTGATCTCGGAATAATTTTTTCCACCATGAGGCTTATTTGTCCCCAGTTTAGAGGGAGGAAACACCCACGGGCTCTAGTGGCTGTTGGTTCCCTCTGGAAACTAGGGCCCTACTGGGTGAGTGGGTTGGGGGAGGCGGGCAACCAGGCACCACTGACAAGGAGGGCCTGGGGAGTGGAGACCCAAAGATTTACTTGTAAAGCTGCAAACGAACCAACCAACATGCTGGGAAAGGGGTTTACTAAGTTTTTTTTTTTTTTTGGAGATGGAGAAAAAAGTGCATTCCCAAAGCCCAGCCCATTATTTCCCTCCTTGAGGATTATTTTCCCCCTTGAGGTTTGTTTTGCAGTGGTTTTGAATGAGGGAGTAGCGATGCCTTCTTTCATATGGGAGAGCTTAATTGTGTGCTTATTTCTACCTTGCAAATCGCTGCCAACAGAGGCTCAGATTTATAATGGAAAACTGGCGCTTTGACAGTGTTGGTTGTAGGTAATTGCTATGAAATTATAGTTATTTTACCTTTCTCTTAACTACACCAAGCGTCCCTTTCCTATTCAGTTCTTACTTTTCCTCACTGCTGGAAATAGACCTATCCCTCTACAGTTGAGACACCATGGGCTCCCTTACACAAAATCTGAAAGGTGGGAGGGCATGATGTGGGCACCACACCTGCCCTCAGAGCTCAAGTTACAGATAACACCACACTCAGTTAGGCAACTACTAATTTAATAACAGCTTGGTGCTAACCTTCAGTTTATGATGTCAGTTCCCTAAGACCTTCCCAAGAATGACTCGACAGGTACCTGGTTCTTGGTCCTTAAACATAAACTGACAATAGAACTTTTCTCCAGGACTGTTTATAATGTAAGTGACAAGTGGAGACTTAAAAACAAAAACCTAGGCAAAAGCCACATCTACATTCTGTAGATGTTTTTACCTCTAGTGCTAAGGGGAGAGACAGAAGAAAATCAAAGGCAGATCTAGTAAAGTTTTGGAATTCTTATTCACTGGACAAAAAAAAAAATCCTATAATGATAATAATGTGAATAATAATGAATGTCTGTATTGTTAGGCATTGTCTAACTGTGTTACATATATTATCAGCTCATTTCTTCAGATGACAAGTGGGATGTTTCTCCCTTTTATAAACGTGGAAGCTAAGGCACAGAGAGGGAAATGACTAACCAAAGGGTAGAGAGCGGGATTGCAGCTAGGTAATCGTGTTCCAGATCCAGTTCCAGATCTTATTCCAGATCCATATAATGGAGTTTTATGCATATGGCCCACCTTTTAGTCCACCTCTAAGACAGATTCATCTTGCTTATCTGAAATTTTATCCCATTGATTAGCAATTCCCCATTTCCTCTACCCCCTGCCCTTGCAATCATCTTTTCCACTCTTTGATTCTGTGATTCAGATTATTTTAGTTCATCTAAGTGAAATCATACAGTAGCTCTCTTTCTGTGATTGACTAATTCATTTAGCATAACGTCCTTGAGGTTCATCCATGTTGTCCAATATTCTTGAACTCTCTTCTTTTTTAAAGACTGAATAGTATTCCATTATGGTATATATCAGTTTCTTCATCCATTCACCATTCATCAATGGACATTAGTCTCTTTCCATATCTCAGCTACTGTAACAGTCATCTTGTAAACATTGAAGTGCTAATTTCTCTTTGAGATCCTGTTTTCAATTATTTAGATAAATGCCTAGAAGTGGGATTGACGAAATATATATTAATTCTATTTTTAATGTTATGAGGAACCTCTATACTGTTTTCCATAGTGGCCACACCAGTTTGCATTCACAACAGCCTCCAGGGTCCAATATCTCCACTTTCTCACCAATACTTGTTGTCATTTTTTTTTTTCAATTATAACCCTCCTAACAGGTATGCAGTGATATCTCCATGGCCCTGATTTGTATTTCCCTACTGATCAATGACACTGGGATTTTTTAGAGAAATGTCCATTCAAGCCTAAATGTCCATTAACCCTATTTTCAATCAGGTTGTTTTTTACTATTAAGTTGTTCAGTTTGTTTCTCTCCCTCACAACTCACGTCCACTTAGAATCTGTAAATGTGACATGATTTGGGTGTAGAGACTTTTTAGATGAAATCCGGTTAAGATGAGGTGCTACTGGGCTAGGTTGGGCCCTAACTATTACTGCTGAGCTTAAAATTAAAGGGAAATCTGGACACGACATACAGAAAAGTTCACGTGGAGATGTAGGCAGAGGTTGGAGTAATGTATCTACAAGACAAGGAATGCCAGAAGCTGAAAGAGACTAAGGAAGAGAATCTGCCCCACAGCCTGTGGAGAGAACTTGGCCCTGCTGACATTTAGGTTTCAAAGGTCTGGCCTCCAGATTGTGAAAGAATAATTTTTTGTTGTAATAACCCACACAGTTTATGGTAATTTGTTATGGCAGTCCCAGTGTCCTTGGACAGCCAACAGAAATGTGTCAGGAGGAGAATGGGATACAGCTAATGGACAATGTCCCTCGTCCACAATGCTGTTGTGCCACAGCCTAGTGCGTGTGCATCGAGTCACTAGCCAGCCATGACCCCAAAGTACTTCCTATTCCCTAGATACAGTATATAAAACATGTTATAAAATATTATGCGGTATAAACACTACATAAAATGATAATAATAGCATAGTCTAATTTTATAGGTTATGTGATTATACATTATATATCAAATTCTGAGTAAAGCAGCATTATATATGCTATGGGATGGAGATTGCCTTTCAGGTATTCTCTCCTTCTATATGGTGAGCTTGGCTGTCCCCCAAACATGAGCCATGTTTTTATTGACTTTGCCTTCAACAGCAATAAGCACAGGGGCCTGAAACTGAGTTGATACAGTGCCTGTTTGAACAAATGTGTATTAAAGGGAGGGTGATATGCCTCCATTTCTAAGGCTCAACTATCTGAAAATTCCAATGTTGGCACTCTGAAGAGTGTCCTGAGACAAAAGCTTAGGTTATATAACACACTACAGATCATGGGTCTAGACCCTTCTCTGCCTCTAACTCCCACTGTGACCTTGACTAGGGCAGTCACACCCCTCTCTTGGCTGTAGTCACTGCATTTATAACTTCCTGTGACTTTGTGAACTTAAGTGGCTAATGGAGATTTATTTAAGACAGCAGTTTTCAAACTTTTTGGTCTCAGAATCCTTACATGCTTTCAGAGAGTTGAGGATTCCCAAAGAGCTTTTATTTTATGTACGTGAAAGTTACCGGTATTTACAGTATTATAAATGAAGGCTAAATATGTTTTAAATATTACATACTTATTCCTTTAAATACAACAATACTTAGAAACATTGCACGTTAACGTAAATAACATTTTAATATAAGGGAACTATACTTTAAGGAAAGAAACTTCGTGAGAAGAGTGACATTGCTTGATGTTTGCAAAATTTTTAATGTCTGACTTAATAGAAGACAACTTCTGTGTTCAATCTTTTGCCTTTTGGGTGAAGTATCAAAAGAAAATCTGGCCTCACTCAAATATGGAATTGGGAAGAGAAGACGTAATGTAATAGCTTTTTCACATAGTTATGGGCATTTATCTTGAATACCATACTGAAATTCAAAAAACGATAGTTACTGAAAGGCTAGATAGTAGGTGGAATTTGAAAGCCTATCAATAAAGTTCTGTCCCAGTAACACCCATTCATCGAGCTTGCACTTTGAGTGGATC